TTGTTTTTTTTTTTTTTTTTTTTTTTTTTTTTTTTTTTTTTTTTTTTTTTTTTTTTTTTTTTTGTTTTTTTTTTTTTTTTGTATTTATTAATAAACTGGTAGTCATTGAGGTTTAAAGCTCTGAAATTGAAATTACCTAGCAGTCACTTTATATCTCTGTATATGCCTGAAATTTTTCAAATGTATAATGAAATCATCTTTACTATGGAAATTGGAAATACAACAGGAAGCCCAGAGTAGTGCATGTGTAGAATTATTACCTCATTTTTCTTCTTTATACAATGTGACATGAAAACATTGAATTTTTGCATTGAACAAAAATGTAAAAATTTTGTATTTTACAGCAATAGGACATAAAACTGTAATTTGCTTTATACAGAAGAGCTTCAAAATGAAATTTGCTATTTGACATGGCCTAAGCTTTCTTACACTGTACCTTGTTAATGGAGGGGAAGGTTTAGAATCCAGCACTCACTGGGCTGGTGTCCTGAGACTACTCTCCTTCACCCACAACTTCCGTAATGATGTTTGAAGTGCAGCATTGCCAAATCATATCATACTCCAAACATTCTTCATTCAACGCCATTCTTAGTTCAAAAGGAGCTTAAATAACATTACAGAATATTAAAATAAACCAGCTAAACCCTCTCCCCAATGTGAACTATTAACAATTTTTATGTCTTGTAATTACCTGAAAATTAATTTAAAAGTATGTGTTTTATGCAAAAAATTCTGTCTTTGGTCCTTGTATTCTTTCATCTGCACATTTAATGGCAGTGTTGTTTCCATTACTATTTTCCTCTAAGAAGATAGAGAGTTGGTGCAGATGGAGTTGGCTGCTGTCTCTCTATCAGCCTGAATTGAAATGGAAAGTCGGTGCCCAGATTCGAAGGCAGCTCCTGTGACAGTTCTGCTTGTTGATGTTTTTGAGGCATAATTTCCGTGCATCATTAGATTTCCATTATGGCAGTTTAATGAAACTGTTGTCTCAGCAAAAGAAGTTGGATTAGAAATCTTAATAGTGATCATCTTAGAAAATGTCACATATGTGAAATTTTAATATAGGATGTTTCATATTAAGCTTTATGTTGATTTCGGTGTCCAAACAGCTTAACTAGTTAATTTATTCCCCAATTAGGTAAATAATTGGGCAGTAGTGGTAGTCTGGAAGCATATTTGTTACCAGAGTAAACTGGTTGCAGTTTGAAATCGCAAATATCATGTTTCTTTGAAGCAAGTTTTATGCTTTTTGGCTTTGTTTGTTTGTAGTGGTGTTTTTTTTTTGAGAGAGATAGGGTTCATTCTTTGAATGTTTTGATGATTCTGCGTGTACCTGGAAGACCAAGATCCTTTTATGATTTCATATTAGCAGGATAATTAATTAGAGTAAAACCTGTTTTGCAGGATAGGCACAGGAGAAGAAAGTCTGTTGCGAGAATGGGATGCATCATAGGGAAGAAAAGAAGGGCCTGGCAGGGGATGGCATAGCTGTAGACAGAGATATTCTTTCACTCTTTTGGGGGTTTTAAACTCTAATATCTTTTCAGTATTCAACATCATCCTCTGTAGGATTTTGTTTCCCATTGGTTAAGCTTTTCACTTCTGAGAAGGGTAAACTCAGGCAAGGAGTTTGCAATCTGGCATAATCGATTAATTTAGCAACTTCTAGTCATGTTCCCATGTGCTGGACTAGTCTGTGCACCCTGCCAGTATGTGCATAAAGAGCAGCAGACAGCAGGTCTGGCATCAAGGGTAAGGCAGCAACAGTGCCAAGAAACCTCTAGGGTAGAACTCATTGCAGATACCAGGGGTATTAACAGTCCTGGTCTAACCTGCCCTTATGGCTCTTTAGAGGCAGTAACAGTAAACACTGGATTCATCTTGCAGACTCCAGAGGCTTGTTGTTGGATGAAGGCTTTTCTGGCTTGGATTGAATTACTTGCCTTCTTTCTTCCTTTTGAATATAAGGCAAAAAAGAACTCTGGGGTGATCTTTGACACCTTCTAGCGTACATGAGCGTTCGCTGGAATTGCATTTTGAATGAAGGTCTGCTGTGTCAAAGAAGTACAATTATTTTTGTGTGGATAACACCTCATTTCCTATAAACAATGTATTTGCTACATTTCCTGTGTAGCAAAGTGTAATTCTGCAGCATCACATCTAGTTCTCCAGACAAAAGTTGAAGATACATTGTTTCTAAGAAATCAACTGCTATAGCAGGGACTAATAAGTGAACAGAATTAGATATGTTCAAGTAGGTGTTAGAAAAATAGTTCTCTAAACTTGTCTGGGTTTTGGCGCCTAAAAATGGAGGAATGTGTGAAACCCGTTAAAATTCCTGGCAGTAATTGCTTTTGCTCATATCTATTGTGCTTTAGTCAGGCTCTGTGAAATTAGAGTGATACATCAAAGAAATGGAAAAGATTAATTCTACTTTCTGAGTCCTTTAAGGTGTTCTGATTGTATATGCTGGTTAGCTATATCTGTGTAGCAATTGTTCCCAGGTTGTTCCAGAGCCCTCTGGTTTTCCACAGGGCAAATGATCCATGTATTTCTCAGAAACTTCCTCTTTCTCAAGCCTGTGATGTAAGTTATATGAAACTCTTTACCAAAAAATCATTTCACCTCTATGAAGCCAAAAATACAAATAGAGTTTCAGAATACAGTTAGAAAGGTAAGGATTGTTAAGGGACTCTTTACAAGGGCATGTAGGGATAGGACAAGGGGAAATGGCTTTAAACTGACAGAGACTAAGTTTGGATTAAATATAAAGAAGAAATTCTTCACTGTGAGAACAGTGAGGCAGTGGAACAGGTTGTTCAGAGAAATTGTGGATGCCTCAACCCTGGCAGTGTTTGAGGCCAGGTTGGATGGGGCTCTGAGCAACCTGGTCTAGTGAGAGGTGTCCATGCCCATGGCAGGGGGGTTGGAACTAAATGATCTTTAAAGTCCAACCTAAACTATTCTGTGATTCTGTGGTTGTATTTTTCACTCTTTCACTCAATTATTTTATTAATTCTCTCTTACAGATTGTCAAGTACTAGGAAAAAATTTGCAATCTTTAACTTGAATCTGAAATATCATTAAAAAAAGAGAAAAATTTGGGTTTTGTTCTTCACCTTGCCCTCCACAACACCTTTTCCCCACAGCAACCAAACTTTGAGGAATAGTTGAAAAATCTTATTTTCTGTGAAATGTATTCATATATATGGTAATGCCACTTTTATTTGAGAAGTCCTTTTTTCTCTCTGTTCACCTCAAGACTTGCTTGGGCCCTGATCAAATCTGGACTCATGCTGTTTCATACCAGGGAGACATGAAAGGGAATGCATGAAAGTGTCAAAGTTTTCACCAGTTCCCTAAGTTTAAGTACACAAAAAAGTTCTCTCAGGTGGTCGTTTTAGTTTCATTAGTCAAATATTGGAACTGGCCGCAATCAACCAGTATATTCCTTGCTCTGCTGGCAAAGCCTGTTTTGCAGAAGGATTAAGAGCACCTGGCTGTGCTGTGGGCTGGGAAGGGGGGTGAGGGCAGCAGAAGAGGAAAATCCTAAAGCAGCTTAAGTATCAAGCAGTTGATCAGATTTGCAAATACAGAGAGTTTGGTTAGTTAAAGCTATATGTAAATCTATGTACATATATATATATTATGTGTTTGGTGTATATCTGTCAGTTCATGAAAGCGAGGTAGGAGATGGAGCAAAATTTCGTGGTTGTTACTGAAGAACAGGTCCGATTCCTAAATTCCCGGTAGCTTTTGGTATCTAACAACAGCCAGAGATTAGAGCAACTCAAATGTGCTCTAAAATGGAAAGAGAAGCTGGTTACTACTGCTGTCTTCTTGTTCAGAAATGTGCTGTACAGAGCACTTCCTTTAAGTTATTCTTGTTTCTGACATCTGTCCATAGTAATCTGGTACAGTTTCTGTGGATCCTGTTGCATCAGGATCAGACGTGGAAGTAACATATGGTCTGGTATCTCCAGCTGTAGA